ATAGAAAAAGATAAGGGTGAAAAGTCTTTTGTATTCTGTTTTATTGGCTTATGTGGAAGGTTCCCTAAAAGATATTTTCCAAGATTATCTTAGCTATTGTCTTTATACCTCAGGGCCCAGTTGATATGTTCTTGTGAGTCCTTGTGGGCCCAGCTCCAGCTGGATCACATTCTGTATGCTCAAGGACAGGGAATAATGATTCCAATATTATTTTCTAAATCAACACTCATTAATAGTTTGCCAGTTCCGGAGGAGTTAGGGAGAGAGAAACGATGTTTCATCTTTGTTTGCATATACATAGTCTATTAAATTATTATGTTATAGATGGTTTAGGAGAAAAGAGAAATTGATTTTTCTAGAAAATAGAATATTAAAACATCAGTAGTATCCCCCACGTAAAACTCATAATGATCTTTCAGTCCACTCAGCCCTATAATTAAATTCTGTTCCATTTATCCTGGATCAGAAGTCGTGAACTCACTAACTTCGCAATAAGAATTCTGGAAATCTTGATTCAGTCCAGCGGTATGAGCGTGCTGTTTAGAAGTCATGTCCAAATACCTGGCATAGTCTTCTTTATGAGTCCCTTTTGGTGAAAAAACTCTGGCCTGTAGTTCATTGCAGGAACCTTCAGGACATCAAAGTAAGAACTATCTGCAGATGATAAGACTTAAAAATACCTACCTAACTACCGTTGCCGTCTAGTTGATTCTGACATGGTTAATTTATTACTGATAAAAATTCATACAAGTGAAAGACCTGATGAGAACTCATTAAAAAGTAATGTAAAGCAAAATAAAAGTCAACCCAAAGTAAAATTTTAGACAAAATCTCTAAACATAGTGATCAACCTTATTTTCTAATTTTTGAAAATGGATGGCCATAATCCTTAGTGAGAAAAAACTTTAGATGTAAGATATCATAATTCCAAGACATAACAAAATATGAATATAAAACATATAGTTAGGATATATACCAAGACTATACCAGGATTATCAAGTTTCTAAACATCTGAATGTTAATAAAACTCTTAGAAGTAAGCAGAGTAAACCTTCAGTTCAAACCCCTTAACTTTGATGCTACTAGATTTAAATTTAAGAGTAAAGTTGCAACAAAGTTAACAATTAAAAAAAAAAACACAACTAAAATTATGACTGATAATATTATGCTCTTGTTGTCTAATAGGCAAATATAACAGACACTGACACATAAATTTTTAACCCAAAGAAAGTTAGCCACGTCTCCCGATTTAACCACACAATTCTTGTTAACAGATTAAACAAGCCTTATTACTTTTCTAGCACTTTTTCCTTGTGAAGCAAGAATAAATCCTTTGTGGCTTTTCAGGAAGTTTCAAAGTTGTCAGGGGTTTATCATAGGTCACCAAGAAATAATACTTTATTATTTAACCAAAGATTTTAAAGGTTAAAAACGTTAACCTTTTCAAAGCCCGGTGGCTTGGTTTTTCAGTCGAGGGCATAAAAGTTAACATAAATTCAGAGACACAGAGCCTTTGCCTCCTAGGCATATTATACAGTACAAAGCAGAAGGATTTTTATGGGCACAGACACACAGAAACAAGGAAGCTATGCTGGGCAAATTTCAGACTGGCTGTCGGGCAGTTTCTTTCCTTATTTGGGATTAAGGGGAAATTTTGAACCAGGTTAAACTGAGCAGGCAAGTCCTGATTGGCTAGTTTAGGTTTCCATTTCTGGGAGAGTCAATTGATTGACTTAGGTTTCAGCTTCTGGAAAGGTCAAGCATTTACAAGAAATAGAAACTAGCTAAGACTTGCGATTTAGCGTAAGTGACTCTGTCTTGGGCCTAGTATAGTCAGATTAACACTTAACCAAACCAAAACCAAACCTGTTGCCACTGAGTCGATTCTGACTCCTAACAAGTCTACAGCACAGAGTAGAACTGCCCCATAGGGTTTCCAAGGTTGTAATCTTTACAGAAGCAGAGAGCCACATCTTTCCCCCCAGAGTAGCTGGTGGGCTCAAACCACCGACCTTTCAGTTAGCAGCTGAGTGCTTAACCACTGCACCACCAACGCTCCTTCAGGTTAACACTACCATAACTGAATTAGCTCAGAAAGACAAACTCTTAGGTCAGACAATAGCCTTCTCAGACTTTTTGGTTTTGATTTTTTGGGGTTGCCTTTGGAGTTCTAAAGTAGATCTGGTGCAGTCAGAGGTTTGATGGTCTGAGAAAGGTAACTTCTTTTATGTTCCTTGGCAGAATTCCCTCTTTTGGTTCCACTCTGTGTCAGGAGAGCCTTGTGACTATGCAGAGACCCTTGACCATTCCAAGACCTTTCCAAATTCCTGAATTAGAAAACACCTTCATAGCGTATCATTTATTCCGTAAAATACGGTACTAAAAGTGACCTAATTCAGGACACTGGCTCTGAGGGAAGCTCCTTGTGTCATTTCAGCTTCTGTTTCTCCATTCCTTGGTGATCTTCAAGTGATCATCTATTTTCTCCATCTGTGCTTCCTATGCTTAATCTGTTCCTTTTATATTTCAAAAGTGATTGGTTTAAGACACACCCTACAGTGATATGACCTCATTAACATAACAAAGAAAACCCTACTCCCAAATGGGATTATATCCACAGGTATAGAAATTAGGATATACAACACATATTTTAAAACGAAAAAAAAAAACACCCAAACCCGTTGCCATCAAGTCAATTTTAACTCATAGCAACCCTATACGACAGAGTAGAACTGGCCCATAGGGTTTCCAAGGAGCAGCTGGTGGATTCAAACTGCCAACCTTTTGGTTAGCAGCCAGAACTCTTAACCACTGTGCCACCATATTTTAGGGGGACACAATTCAATCCGTAACACAGACCCTAGCCAAGATCTTTTCTTCCTCAGTCCTGATTAGCTTGATCTGACCCAAAACTTCACCAGCTCTGAGGTCTGTCCTCCAAATGAATGTCTTAATTCCCTAGTGCTGCTATAACAAAAATACCACAAGTGGGTGGTTTTAAATAACAGAAATTTATTGTCTCACAGTTCTGGAGGCTAGAAGTCTCTAATCAGGGCATCAGTTCTAGGGGAGGCTCCATCCTTATCAGTAGTCCCAGGCATTTCTTGGCATTCCTTGGCAGGTAGATGGATCCTCACATGGTCTCTTCCCTTTATGTGTATATGCGTGTGTGTGTGTACTCCCCTTTATAAGTCACCACTCTGAGTGATTAGGTTTCAGATCCACCCTACTATAGTATGGCCTCATTCACATGACAGAAGAAAAACCTATTTCCAAACAAGGTCACATTCACAGGTACAGGGGCCAGGACTTTGACATCTTTTTGGCTGAATTCAATCCATAACAGGGGTAAGGAGGGGCGGGAGACCTTCAGCGTGGATCTATCAAATGACTGTGGAGAGAGTCTAATACCATCTCTGCAGATGGGGTGGGTTTGTTGTATTTGTTTTTCACGTTTCCGTATTAGAACACCCTGTCTTCTAAGCACACAAGCTTTCATTTCCTCTTTTCTCATTAAAAATAAAAAGTCAAACCTACAAGCTGCTGTATCATTGCTTCAGCTTCGTGTTAAGTAGACTGATGACCTTAAAAATGCATCCAATCTGCAGCCCATGAAAAAGAAAGCTGCACTGCCCCCTATATCTCTTCACTCAGGTCATATTCCTGCTCACCATTTAGGTTTTGTTTCCAGTTTGTGAAAACTTAGCTCCACGTTTATTCCCCTTCTTAAACAAACCTGTTTGCTTTATCCAATCCAATTGAAGTGTTTCCTTTCCATTTTGCACACAGCGCCCTAAATACTCCTCCAGGTAAGCCTTATTATTTCCTCTAGTACCACCCCCCTGACAAACTTCTAGCACCCATTTTTTGCCTTGGTTGAGCAAGGCTGCAGACATCCTCACCCCACTGGGAAGGGCTGCCTGGACAGCAGTCCACCGAGCAGAACACACTTGCTGACAGCAGCGTCTTCCAGTTCAAACGTTCCTGCTTCATACCCTTGCCACCTGTTCAGAGCAGATGGGAAGCTGCACGGCTGAAATGTAGATATGGCGCTGAAATGGCACTCATGCACTTTGCAAACCAAGTAGCTTTGTGTTTGCAGGAGCTGGGCTTTTGTCGTTAAGCTACAATAAGAAATTGTGGGCTGTTTGCAATTGATACCTATAATTGTTTTCATTCATAAATCCCCTCCAGTTGGCCCAGGTAGTCAGGACAGATGATTTGGAACAGGTATCCTACATGGTTCCCTAGCGATTTGGTGTGCAAGCTCCCATCTGCAGAGAGTACCTGAGCACTGTGGGAGGCAGGAGGTATGTTGCCACATCAGGGCCTGACTGCATGGAAGGCGACTGGTACTCACCTAATTCCCTGTGGTACAACCTGGGCTTTGGGTCCATGTCCTTCTAATTACCCAGCTTCATGGGCCTTTGCCTGGTTTTCTTTTAAGAAATAGTTTGTTCTGAGACTAAATGGGCACACTAGCCCAGGGGCAAGGACGAGAAGGCAGGAAAGGACAGGAAAACTGGTAATGGGGAACCCAAGGTCGAGAAGGGGAGAGTGTTGACATGTCGTGGGGTTGGCAACCAATGTCATAAAACAACATGTGTATTAATTGCTTAATGAGAAACTAATTTGCTCCGTAAACTTTTATCTAAAGCACAATAAATTTAAAAAAAAGTCTGATGTCATGTAACATTATTGGACAACTTAACAGGGCCCACTGGAACACGGAGAAGTATGGAAATAACACTGATGGGGTGCTGGGGTTTTTTGCTGAGACCACACAGTACTTTACAGAGTGAAATCATGTTGTCAAACCAGTAGAACAGCACAAATCCTTTTATTCTGCTATACGTATTTTAAAATTCTTCCCACAGCACACACTATTATGTTCTAAACATCATGGCCCCTCAGATATTGCCCTTTCAGATTGTGGAAAATCCAGAGAGTGGGTTAAGTTCCTGTATCTGCAAATGACTTCCCTCTGCCTGTTCTTCCAGGTGGACACTCTGGAGGTGATACGGCATCCGGAAGAAACCACCAACATGAAGAGGCAAACCATGGCTTCTTACTTCCGGGTAAGGGTTCTTCTTGATCCATATTCTGCCTACTTCCAAAAAGGACTTGCCAAGCTTTCCCACAAGAGGCCCAGATACAATAAAGTTATTGAAACTAGGGCAAAGAACAAGAGCCAGTTAAGGAAGATAGGGTTGTGGGAGTAGTGGGAAGAGAAAATTATAGCAGGGAACCTACTTCTGAGTACAGAGTTCTCTAATCTTAGAAAGATCAGATGAAATCTTAAATGTCTATAGAGGCCCCTCTCTGTCAAGAGGAACACAGTCCTGTCTATTGAATGTGCAGTTTCTTACACTTACAGCTACTAGAAACAGCCACTTTTCCAGCATACTGAATAGTAGTTAAAAAAATTCCAGAAGGTGGCTGTCTTAGTCATATAGTGCTATTATAACAGAAATACCACAAGTGGATGGCTTTAACAAAGAGAGATTTATTCTCTCACCGTCTAGGAGGCTACATGTCGGAATACAGGGCTCCATCTCCAGGGCAAGGCTTTCTCTCTTGAGGAAGGTCCTTGTCATCAATGTTCCCCTGGTTCAGGAGATTCTCAGCACAGGGACCCTAGGTCCAAAGGACACACTCTGCTCCCAGTGCTTCTTTCTTGGTGGTATGAGGTCCCCATGTCTCTCTGTTCGCTTCTCTCTTTTATGTCTCAAAAGAGATTGACTCAAGACACAATCCAATCTTGTAGATTGAGTTCTGCCTCATTAACATAACTGCCGCTAATCCCATCTCATCAGCGTCATAAAGATAGGATTTACAACACATAGGAAAATCACGTCAGATCACAGAATGGTGGACAATTACACAGTACTGGGAATCATGACCTAACCAAATTGATACACATATTTTTGGGGGGCACAATTCAATCCATAATAGTGGCTTATCAAGTTCAGATACTGAGAGAATCTATCTTAGCATCAAGATTGAGTTGATCCATTGCAAGATTTTTTCTGGGCCGATTATTTTCCACCATGGCTTCCGCAGTTCCCTATATTTCATCTGGTAAAATGACCACTTTGAATGAAAACGTTGTCTCTAGAAGGCCTCTGTAAAATGCACATTTATAGGAAAGATAAGATACAGGTACACTTGTACCAATTTATACAGATTTGTTTATCTTCAAATCACAGAGGCTTAAGGTTGAAAGCTCCTTAGAGACCATCTACCACAGAAGCTAAAGTCCAGCAGCTTCATGGTGGTGATGCTGTTAGGCCAAAGATGGAACCGATCTCAGGGAGCAGTAGAATAAGGCTGTCGGGGTGGCACAGGAAGGGGCCTAGTGGGGACAAGAGTTCAGGTGGGTAGAAAGCTGGATCATGAGCTAGAAGAGCCAAGCAGGCTGAAGGGCAGGGTCTAGAAGCCAAGATCTAGATAGAAGTCTCCAGAGAAGACTCCCTGGTGTAAGAAATATCTAAAGTCAAGGAGCCCTTGTAGGCTGTGCTTCAGAGCCAGGCTAGGATTGGGCTCAGCATATGAATTACAGGTCCTCAGAGGCCTTTGAGTCTAGCCCTCCATCCCATGCAGAGACCCCTGCTACTGCCTCTCTGGCAGGTGGGCATTCAACCTCTGCTTCATCCTCTGATGTTTGGAAATTTCTAATTGCTACTTATTTCTTATCTTGAGAACCACTCTGGTCCTATCCACTATGGTAGAGGCTATATCCTCATTCTCCTAGTAACCCCTGCTGTCTTTGTTTTCTCATGACATTTGGAGGCTTTGATTGACTCTCTTAAGTCATCCTCAAGTTCCATCTCCTCATCAGCAGATAAGCCTCTGCCTAATAGTTTTTCAGACATATACTCATGGCAATCAATTTGTATCCATAAAATAAGGTGTTCAGGTATGATAGTAGGTCTCCAAATGCTAAATCTGAAAAATAAGGTACATTGTCAAGCTGAGAACACTATTTTTGTTCAGTAGGAGGTGTGCTTATGAAATTGATTCCCTTTGTGGCTTATAACTTACCGTTGAAGGCATGCTCAAAAGAGGAACTCCAAAAATGCATGCCCCTGATAAACAACTGAGGCCTCCCCTGCACAAGCTCCCATCTGTTTTTCCATATCCTCTCCTCATCTCCCGTTATGAGAGCCCTGTACCAATCTCTTTGAATATGTTGTTTGATCTTCATCATAATCTCCTTATTCTCTAATGTTTTTATTTTCTTCTTCTCTTTTTCTGTTTTTCCCTTTTTCCCCTAACCCATTATGAATGGTATCAGTAGGAATTGCTTAGTCTTCCTGGTGGTGCTTAGACTTTCTAATAGTTCTTAAGCTGAAGAAGTAACTAAAAGCCGTAAAAACTGGACATTTTTAAATTTCAGAAACAGTTTATAGATATTTCCTTGGAAGACCAGACATGGGCATTCTAATTCTGTGCGGTAACCTGGAACATGTTTTTAAACAGCTAAATTTCTGCCATCTGGAATATTGGTTGGTACCAAACCAAACCCGTGCCATCAAGTCGATTCCGACTCATAGCGACCCTATAGGGCAGAGTAGAACTGCCTCTTGGGGTTTCAAAGAAGCATCTGGTGGATTCAAACTGCTGACATTTTGGTTAGCTGCTGAGCTCTTAACCATTGCGTCACTAGGGCTCCTGCTTGTCACCAGTGATGTTTAAAGAATGCATTTGAATCCTCAAGCAGCTATAAATAATAGTCAGAACTTATATTATCACCTCCTGTTGTGGTTCTCTGTTCTACCTCAAAGAGCTCCATGAGTTATTCACAAGCCTCTAACTGTTCCAGAGGTCCCTGCAGGCCTGAGTTACAAGTATCTATTATGCTGTGGAGGAGTCCCTGGGTAGTGCAAATGGTTAACGTGCTCGGGTGCTAACTGAAAGGTTGGAGTTCGAGTCCACCCAGAGGCTCCTTGGAAGAAAGGCCTGGAAATCTACTTCCAAAAAATGACCATTGAAAACCCTATGGAGCGCAGTTCTACTCTGACACACATGGGGTCGCCATGAGCCAGGATCAACTCGATGGCAAATGGTATGTAGATTGTGTTGTGGTAAACTCATTTCATGTGATTTTTTTCTCCTGGTAGTATTCTTTGATGGATCTGCTCTCCAAAATGGTGGTGGGACAGCCTCACTTTGTACGCTGCATTAAACCCAATGATGACCGAGAGGCCCTGAAGTTCTCCCGAGAGAGAGTGCTGGCCCAGCTCCGCTCCACTGGGATCCTGGAGACAGTCAGCATCCGCCAGCAGGGATATTCTCACCGCATCCTCTTTGAAGAGTTTGTGAAAAGGTCAGGCTGGCATCTTTGGGAATACATTATGTTAAATATAGCTCTACCCTGGTCATCCCTGTTCCCTGGGATTGCTTCTCCTGCCTGTTTCCTTCCAACATGTAATTGGCTAGTTATCAGCTACCATTTCTTACTTGAATGTTGCATTTTTTTTTTTTGCATGCTCTTCTAGCTTCAACTAAACTACAAGAGTCTGGAGGAATTAAGCTCCGTTCTGATCACATTTAAAAAAATAAATGTGTATAGACATTTATATATTTTATATCCTTAGGTCTCAAATTCTCCAGATAGTCAGTTGGTATGATGAAAGTAGCTCTCTATACATAGGTCAAGATTCTGGCAAATGGAAATGCGTTCAAACACCCACTCATCTCTCCCAGTATCTGGCATGATATGATATGATATGATATGATACATGGCAGTGGCACAGTGTTAAGATCTTGGCTGCTAACCGAAAGGTCAGTAGTTCGAATCCACCAGCCACTCCTTGGAAACCCTATGGGGCAGTTCTACTCTGTCCTGTAGAGTCGCTATGGGGCAGAATCGACTCAGCAGCAGCCGGTTATGGCTTGATATAATATGATAGCTCACGTTTATATCACACTGTCTTAAAATGTATTATCTCATTTGATCCATAAAACAACACTATAAGGTAGGCTCTATTATCATCCTCATTTTACAGGTGAGGAAACTGAAGCATAGAAAGAAATTAAGTGACTTTCCTAAGGGTCCATGCTAATAAATGGTGGTGTTACGGCAATAATGCAGATTGGAGCCGCCTGCTGCAATAGCCAATTCTGAGATGGGGTGAGGTGAGCAGCAAGATGTTTATTATATATCGACATATAGGAGAAGGAGAGCAATAGATTCCTCCAAAAAAACCCATCTCGCCCACTGGAGTTTGGCTGAAGGCTTTTGTAGGGACAGGATTATGGATCTTAGAAGTTTGTGTTAGTTTCCCCTTGAGGTGGTGATGTCTTAGATAAGTTAACCTTCTACTGGTATTCTTAGAGGTTATCTGGTGACATCCTTGTGGATTATCTGGCGACATCCTGCTTTTTCTTGTCACAAGATGGGTGCTTTGTTTGGTTTTTCATTCTTAGATCATTATCACTTGTTTTCCACCCTCCAGGGAGGAACATCGGTTAATCTTAAACCTTTTGTAGAGACTGGAACCGGAGGGAAAAACAAAATCCTGAGACAATGTGGCAGTTAGCAATGGGGAGTACATAATAGTGAGCCGGGCCTATGCAGTCTCTTCCAGTAGAGCCAGGATTTGAACTCAGGCAGTCTGGCTTCTTTGTCCACACTTTTAGTCTCCTCAGCCCACTGCTTTGTGATAGGCATTTAGTCAATGTTTATTGAAATAAATTGCTGCGGAGCCTTCTAAAATCAGAAACTGCTTTTACCTATGAATGAAATGCTGCTCTTTCCAGCACAACTGCCATAGGGGATGCCTTGTGTGTGCATATGATTATGGGTAGAATTTTCAAAGAACTTTCTGCAAAGAAAAGAGGAACAACAATAACAAAAAACCACTCTGGGAAGCACTCTGTCTGAGAATGTCCAGAGAAGGAAATTAAAATCCATTATAAAATCAGCCTCACCCATCAGACATCTTTAGCGTCTTTTTTTTTTATAAATTTTATTTATTTTGTTGCTGTTACTGAGAATATACACAGCAAAACATACACAAATTCGAGTTTGTACATGTATAATTTAGTGACATTGATTCTATTCTTCAAGTTGTGCAACCATTCTCACCCTGCTTTTCTGAATTGTTCCTCCTTCGTTAACATAAACTCACTGCCCGCTAAGGTTCCTATCTAATCTTTTGAGTTGCTGTTGTCAATTTGATCCCATATAGATACTTTAGTTTCTTTTTAACCTCCATTCTATAACTTATGCCAAAGGTCATTTTTCCAATTTTCTCTCAAGGAAGAATCAATCCTAAATATGGTTGCTTGCTTCATCAAGTCTTCCAAACATCACTAAATTCCATAGAAAAGGAAAGGCAAATAAAAATCTTGCAAAGAGAGCTTTTAAATAAAAAATAAGAAGGAAATGGCTTTTTAAAAAGAAGTGTCTTTGAGCCCTTTTTTCCTCTTAAATTTGGAGGTGGAACAAGAAAAAAAAGATTATTTTAGCTCATGAATCACTAGTCAAGTATTTTTAGCCACTAAGTGTTGAATACATAAAAATATTTAAGAAAACAGGTCAAATGCTAAACAGATTGGCACGTCTTTGTTCGTAACCAGAAAGCCATTAGGCAAGTACGAACAAGAGTTTCAAAATGTCAGTACATCTGAGGGTATCAAAGATTTTCTGAGCCAGCAAGTTAATTGGTATTTTGATCCTTTTGAGCAACTTAACAACAAAATGGATGAGCTGGCAGTTTTCCCCCTTGATGTTGCTAAACAAATTGGTGCGCTTCTTATCTGACTGTTCAAGGGTGCTGTTTTGTAAACTCTTAGCAGGAAATATGCAGACAGAGCAATTAAAGGCAAGGAATAGAGCCATTCAACGTTTATCAAGTGGAGGTAAATAAAAGATAAAGTCTTGTTTAATGTTACTCTTTACCTTTTTGTTTTTTCTGGTGTTCAGGACAGAAACCGTACTTGCATACCTGAAAGGTAGTGCTTTTGGGATTATGTTGTTGGGTTCCACAATAGGGAATGGCTTCCCCAATCCTCTAGTCACCCCAAGTCTGCAGACTTGGCCAAACCTAAAATGCTCCTTTTCCCCATCGTCTTTGAATTTTCTGGCAAGATGCCTCAGAAGTGTCCTTCCTTATCCGGCATTCGTGGAGCCTTTAAGGAAGGTGGGGTCCCCAACACCATCTCATCAGTGGGGCCAGGAGGGATGGAAGTTTATCTGCTCTCAGGTAGATGGGAAAGAGGACACTTGGCAGTGCTAGATGAGTAACTGAAACCTCTTAGTAGCCAAACTGTTGTAGGCCATCAGGGCCATTACAGAAATCAACTGTGAATGTTCGTTGTCTTCATTGGTCAACTTACTGAAGCATGATGGAGCAGAGGGTCCACACTGGGGCAAACACTTATGACTACGTGTGTAGAAATGTGTTCTGGCAAATGTCCAACGGGTAGGGCAGCACATTCAGTTCAAAGTCTAATGGTTTGTTTATTAAACTAGTGTATTAAATTGTACAATTTAGTAAGGAGACCTGCGTTTTAGTCTCCTATTTAATATTAGCATGTAACAACATTTCTGTAAAAGATATTTCCTCATCTGCATGACAAGAAGGCAGGAATACAAAGAGCCCACATCCTAAAGATTTTCAGGGATTGTGTGTAGATTCCTGGGCATTACTTAGCCTCTAAGTCTTCCAGAGAGACAGCATGCTTCCAGTTGAGTTCACAAGATGGGAGACCTGCATCCAGCAGACCTGATTCATAATAGCTGTTAAAAGACGTGTCTGTTGAACAGAATGAAATTCTTCTGTATTTCATCAGTATCTTCCATTTCTTCTCATGATGGCATGGAGAGCTGGGGTATTCTGGTATCTCTTTCATCTCATTCTCCCTTCTATTCATCCTGTTCCTCTCCTCCAGAAACCTAGAAGCCACTTTTGACATCTCTCTCCCTCCCTTCCTTCAAACAATCCAACACTGAACTCTGCTGACTTCACTTGCTAAAGTTTCTCAACAAGGTTCCCTTGGAAATCTCCTATTGCTTCTCCCACGGCTTTAGTCCAAGCCTTTTATTATTATTTTTTTTAATAACAGCTTTCTTGAGATATAACTCACATATATAAAATTTCCCCTTTTAAAGTATATAATTCAGTGTTTTCTCTTGTATATATACAGTTGTGCAGCCATCACCACTGTCTTAGGCTGGATTCTCTAGAGAAGCAAAACCAGTAAAGTGTATAAATATATATAAAGTGTATATCAAGGAAATGGCTCACGAGGCTGTAGAGGCTGGAACGTCCCAAGTCCGTGGATCAGAATAGAGGCTTCTCCTGATTCACGTAGCCACAGGGGCTGGCGAACCCAAGATCAGCGGATTGGAGAACAGGGCTCTTGCTCACAGGCTGTGAAGATCGATGAATCCCAAGATCTGCAGGCAAGACTGCAAGGCTTCTCCTGATTCATGTAGCTGCAGGGACTTGCGAATCCAAGATTGGCAGGCAAGACTGAAGGGTAAGCTGTTAGCTTAAGTTCCAAGAACTGGAGGTAAGACAAACCAAAGCCAGCAGCAGTGTCCAGAGCAGGCAAAAGCCAGAATATCTGCTTATATTTGGATGCAGGCCACACACACAAGGAAACTCCCTTTTAGCTGATTGCCTACTCACAGCAAATCCCATCATGGAGCTGATCACATTCAAATCTCAACAGGGAAGTGATCACAACACTGTATGATGTCAAAATACTGAGAATCATGGCCCAGTCAAGTTGACACACAATCTTTTTTTTTTTTTTTCATTGTACTTCAGGTGAAGACTTATGGAACAAACAGTTTCTCATGAAACAGTAGTACACATGTTGTTTTATGACATTGGTTAACAACCCCACAACATATCAGTCCTCTAACTTCTCAACCTTTTTTTTGGTGAAAATACACATAGCCAAAGATACACCATTTCAAAAATTTCTACATGCACAGTTCAGTGACATTGACTATGCTCTT